GAAAATGGCTAACTCAGGCCACATGTATTAGAAGCCTTGAGGATATGGGTTTAAAAACCTGATTTAATGACAATAGCAGTCAGTTTCCCTTCACTTCTAACTAAAATGTTGTTTTGGCACAAATGTAGAAAAAATAAAGTCTTACAAGACGATCAGGCTGACCATAATCTTAGAATAACTAACTGATGATTCACCACTTTTCAATTGTATTATCTATAGTTACAATGCCTGTTTGAAGTTGCACTAATTATGTTACATATCTTACATGAAATAGCATTTTTACTTGTCTTTTTTTTACAGGTGTATTTCTAGTACACATGTATTTTTGGGTGTCTTTTTTTTTTTCTCCCTTAGGCAGCTAAGCCGTTAACAAGGTCATTGAGCGTAACTCATATGGAAATTATATATGTTGAGAGCCAGAAAAGGCAGATAAGGAGAGAAGAGCAAGAAACTCTTTTCTGACATAATAGGCATTTTGGGTGGCATGTCCGGTCCCCGCCTCCCATCTGCAACTATTGTTTGTGGGGACGTCAGCATGAGGCTAAATAGCTATCACAGAAAAGGCAGCTGGAGGGAAAGCACAAAAAGGTGGTGCAAGGAACATTCATGATGGGCTTGTGGTCTAGTGCCAACGTCATATCAACAACTTTATTATCACAGAACAGTTTACTGAACCTTAATCATCAGAGCATAGAACACACTGTAAAGTAAACACTAAGTAATGCTAACATTTTTTTTAGGTTGTATTCAGAATCAAATATCAGAATCACTAATGTAAACAGGTTTATTACATGTGCTAAACATACCAGTCAAGTAATGCTTTGTGTTACGTTGGTACATAATACATATAGTTTAAAGGGACACTGTACACACTTCAACAACTTCATCTTCTTGAAGTTATTATTGTGTTTACAGTTTTACATGCCCCCCCATCCTACCCCCAAAATCGCAGACAAATCAAAAGGCTTGGAAGCGTGGCTTCAAGTTACGCCTCCACACCCTCTGGATATGAGTGCCGGAAATATTACTTCCTGGCTCTCATACTATAACATATTATGACGCCACATGCGCATAAGCAGTGCCTTCATTGTCAGCCATAGAGAATCATTAAATATGTGTACGTTTCCTAGTACTCTTCTATAAACAGCCAAATACAAAGATATGAATGTCACTCACTAGGTCATGGTGGAATATATGCCATTCAATACATGTTAGTGCACAATTTAGTGAATAAATATTTTTTTCAATTGTCACTGTTTATATCAACAGTCATTTAGACACTTTGATGTTTGCATTTACTTTCATTATAGTGCACCATTATTTATTCATATAGGGATAGCGATATGTATTACTAACAATATAGTGGTCCTTTAAGTGCTATCCAAAATATGAGTAATGAGTTAGGAAAAAGGACAAATAGGTAATTTGTTACATGTGATTTTAAAGAGGAAGAAATTCTGTTTCAACTGTCAAAAGTAAAGACAAATAAGTCAATGGGACCTGATGGAATACACCCAAAGTTATGTAAAAAAGCTTAGTGGTGTACTAGCAAAACCATTAACAGATTTATTTAACCAATTATTGTTAACAGGAGTAGTCCCAGAAGACTGGAAGTTAGCGAACATTGTGCCCATTCACAAGAAAGGTAGTAGGCAGGAGTCGGGCAACTATAGGCCAGTAAGCCTTACTTCAGTAGTGGGGAAAGTAATGGAAACAATGTTAAAGGATTGGATTGTTGAACATCTAAAATCACATGGATTTCAAGATCAGAGACAACATGGATTTACTTCAGGGAGATCATGCCAAACTAATCTTACTGATTAATTTCATTGGGTAACTAAAATAATAGATCAGGGTGATGCAGTAGACATTGCTTACCTAGATTTCAGTAAGGCTTTTGACACTGTTGCACATAGAATACTTATCAATAAACTGTAATCTTTAAGTTTGGATTCCAATATTGTTGAATGGGTAAGGCAGTGGCTTAGTGACAGGCAACAGAGGGTTGTAGTCAATGAAGTATATTCAAAGCATGGTATTGTCACCAGTGGGGTACCTCAGGGATCTGTACTTGGACCCATTCTCTTTAATATTCTTATTCCAGAAGGTCTTGATGTTAAGGTATATCTGTTTGCTGATTATACTAAGATATGTAACAGGGTTGATGTTTCAGGAGGGATAAGCCAGATGGCAAATGATTTAGGTAAACTAGAAAAATAGTCAGAATTGTGGCAGCTGACATTTAATGAGGATAAGTGCAAGATAATGCATCTTGGACGTAAAACCTAAGGGCAGAGTACAGAATATTTGATAGAGGCTTAACCTCAACATCTGAGGAAAGGGGTTTAGGGGTAATTATTTCAGATGACTTAAAGGTAGGCAGACAATGTAATAGAGCAGCAGGAAATACTAGCATAATGATTTGTTGTTTAGGGACAGGTATTAGCAGTAGAAAGAGGGAAGTGCTCATGCCATTGTACAGAACACTGGTGAGACCTCACTTGGAGTATTGTAAGCAGTACTGGAGACTATATCTCCAGAAGGATATTGATATCTTAGAGAGAGTTAAGAGAAGGGCTACTAAACTGGTTCATGGATTGCAGGATAAAACTTACAAGGAAAGGTAAAAGGATCTTAACATGCGTAGCTTGGAGGAAAGACGAGACAGAGGAGATATGATGGAAACATTTAAATACATAAAGAGACTCAACACAGTAAAGGAGGAGAATATATTTAACCCCTTAGTGACCAGACCTCTTTTCAATTTTCATACCGTTTGGGACCAGGGCTGTTTTTACATTTCTGCAGTGTTTGTATTTAGCTGTAATTTTCCTCTTACTCATTTACTGTACCCACACATATTATATACTGTTTTTCTTGCCATTAAATGGTCTTTCTAAAGATACAATTTTTTCATCATATCATAATTAGAGATGTCACGAACCGTTCGGAGGTGGGAGGGTCTGGAAGGGAGGGTCTGCTGGAGATTGGCCGGGATATGTCAGCTGACCGGAGCTCGTCGCGAACGGTTAGTGGCGAGCCGTGGCGAGCCGTTCGCGGGAAGTTTGCGAACGGTTCGCGACATCTCTAATCATAATTTACTATAAAAATGTTTATAAAATATGATGAAAAAATTTAAAAACATACTTTTTCTAATTTTGACCCCCAAAATCTGTTACGCATCTACAACTGCCAAAAAACACCCATGCTAAATAGTTTCTAAATTTTGTCCTGAGTTTAGCAATGTTAACATGTACGTAACTTTTTTTGGAAAGTTCTAGGATATAGAACTTTTTTCAAAATGAACTCAAGTGACATTGTAACACTGATATCTGCCAGGAATCCCTGAATAACCCTTAACATGTATATATTTTTAAAAGAAGACAGCCTAAGGTATTATACTTGGGGTATTTTTCATTTTTTCATGTAACCATTTTACCACCACTCTATGCCAAATTAAAAATAAATAATAATAATTGGTGATTTTTTTTGACACACATAGCAATTTAAGAATACATGTACTGAGAACTTTAAGGGTTACTGCCAAAGAACACCCCAATATGTGTTCAACAACATCTCCTGAGTACAGGGATACCACCCATGTATCGATGTGTCGGGTTCTCTGGGAGCTAAAAGACCTTATTTGGAGGGTGAGCATTCCAGTTTTCCAACTTGTAATTTTCACAGCTTGTCATCATGCACCCATGTCCTATTTGGGACATTTATGAAGCTGGCCAATGTAATTTACCACCATCAAACCATATATTTTTGAAAAGTATACCACCCAGGTTATTCAATATGGGGTATGTCCTGTCTTTTTTAGTAGCCACCTAGTAACAAACACTAGCCAAAGTTAGCATTTATATTTGTTTGTCTGTTAAAATTCAAAAAAACAATTCTGAACGCTAACTTTGTCCAGTGTTTGTGACTAAGTGGCTATTAAAAAAGACTGAACATACCCCATTTACAATACCTTGGGTTGTCTTCTTTTGCAAATGGTATGCCATCATGGGGGTGATTCTAATTCCTGGGCTACCATACGCTCTCAAAGGCAACATAACCAATCTGGCAAATTTCAATGTGAAAAACAGGCCTTATATTTGAACCTGTAACTTTCAAAAACACTATAAAACCTGTACATGGGGGATACTGTTATACTCTGGAGACTTTGCTGAACACAAATATTAGTATTTCAAAACAGTAAAACGTATCACAACAATGATATCATCAGTGAAAGTGCAGTTTGTGAGTAAAAAATGCCAATATCATCGCTGTGATATATTTTACTGTTTTGAAACACTAATATTTGTGTACAGTGAAGTCTACCGAGTAAAACAGTAACCCCCATCTTTAGGTTTTAGGGTGTCTTGGAAAGTTACCGCGTTAAATATAGTGCTCGCAAATTCAATTCTCTGAACTTTCAGCCTGGGTTGTCAGGTAGGTCCCCCAAATTGCAATCAATAAAATTACTTAATTATGTAAAAATATTACATAAATATGCACGTAGAAATTAAATATATATGCATATTTATATATTTGAAGTCTACATGTATATTTATGGAATTATTTATGTAATTATGTAAATGGTCATATGTATATTCCCTATTATTTTTATTCATTTATTTATATATGTATATTTTCATAAAAATATAATTTCATAAGACATTTTTTTAATTTTGTTTTATATATATATAATATATATAATAACTATATATTATTATAAATAATAAATAATAATCAATTTAAATAAAATTAAAAAACAACATCCCCGCACTCCAATTATCTATAGTATACCCAAGATTCATAAAGATCCAGAAAGACCTCCTGGCCGTCCCATTGTTTCAGCTATTGGGGGGATTTTAGAACCCATAGCACAATGGTTAGATTTTGTTTTTAAAGGACCAGTTGAGGCACTGAGTACATGTATTAAGGATACACAAATGCTCTTGAGTAGAATTAAGTCCTTGGAGTTCCATGGAAGGGTTCCAATATTCATTACTATGGATGTCAAGAGCCTGTACACAGTCATCCCTCATATTGGAGGTATTGAGGCGATGCGACAGGTGTTATGTGAGTCTTCGATGTACCATGGTCCACCAATAGAATTTATTCTGGAGCTTTTGTCGTTGATCCTTCATAACAATCATTTTAGATTTGAGGATCGGTGGTACTTACAAGTGGCGGGAACATCTATGGGGTCAGCCATGGCCCCTATGTATGCCAATGCGTACATGTATGCATATGAAACACAGCATATATTGACCACATATAAGAATAACATTATTGGATATTATCGTTATATAGACGACCTGTTGATCATCTGGCGAGGCTCACAAACGGAGGCACATATGATGGTGGAGGAGTTAAATTTGTTGCCAACTCCTATCAAGTTTACAGCCAATATCAGTGAGGAAAGTGTCCAATACCTGGACTTAGAACTTTCCTATGGAGACAATAGAGTCCAATACACATTATTTTCGAAACAGACTGATCGGAATACTCTTTTACACGCTAGGAGTGCACATCCCATTTCGTTGAAAAAATCTATTCCTAAAGCACAATTCCAGCGAGTCATTCGCAACAATTCTGATATAAATAAGGCTGAGTTACAATTGAAAATCATGACCCAGAAGTTTTTGAACAGAGGTTATAACATTCAGGTACTAGAAGAAGCACTGTTGAAGGCAAAATTGGCCCCGGTGCAAAAGATGGATCCTGTACAGAAAATTGTATTTCCGATGACGTTTCATAATTCTTCTAATTTGATTTCAACAATTGTTAAAGACAATTGGAAAATGATTGCTACGGATGACACCCTGCCAAAGATTTTTAAAGAGACTCCGTTAATTTGCTACAGGAGAAATAAGAGTCTTAAGGACATGTTAGTACGTACAGACCCTGTGGAAAGTTATTCTAAAACAGTCAAGCACAACATACGGGGAAGCATACGATGTCTGGGGTGTATTACTTGTGGACATATGATTCCAGCAAAGAAATTTAATCACCCACATACTAATAAAATATATGATATAAGACACACTATTACTTGTAAAACCCCCTTTGTTGTATATAAATTGGTGTGTCCGTGTGGCCTCTATTACGTAGGAAAGACAGAAACACCTCTATGTGAGAGGATTAGGGGCCACCGCTCGAGTATAAGATTAGCGTACAGGGATGGCCAGTCTGATAAGCCAGTTGCTCGGCACTTTCTTGATAAAAAACATCCCTTAGCATCCCTTAAATTTGTGGGTATTGATCATATACCCCTTCCCCGCAGGGGGGGTAATAGGGGGAAGATGTTGCTTCAGAAAGAGGCTTTTTGGATACACCAATTAAATACAATATCTCCCATGGGTCTTAATGAGAGCATCACGTATCATTCTTTTATATAGGTTTAACCAGCTTGTTACTATTGTTTTTAAATATTTTTATGTTTAATGAATTTCTCAGGAGCAGTGTGTCTATAATTATGCCAAAGTGTTTTTATATGTATGATATATTTGATTACACATATGTTGCTTATGAGCACTTATAATGCACTTTATTATATGCATGCTATCACTTTAAAAATTTTATATATGAATTTTTTTTGATTCACTGATGAGTGCAATTTCACATTTAACTATAACTAGGGCTCATACACTGATGGGTCAAATTTTAGTGGCTTTATTATCACTTTAATGAAGTGTCACTTACCTAGGTTCACTAGGTGTTCTTGTGGTTAGGGATATTTGATACACAATGAGCCCATCACAAGATTTGTTTTAAAATAAGCACTTATATTACTTATGTATGGCATTAATTTTTTCTTCCCTATTCTCTATCTTGGTATAGACTCCTTTTGTTGTAAGAGGGGTCTTTGTATATATGGTTGCTAAGGAGACCGGTCTATGTGACCGGGAGTACGTCGGCACGTAACATAGTATGATGAAGGGGCGGAGCACGTATTGACGTGCGCGCGCATACCCGGAAATTCACTGGGTGCCGGCGGGAAATGAGAATAGAACACCTGGGTGAGTCATTTCACTTAATGTAATGGTATATATTGTCACTTTGTATACTGTTTATTGTTGTCCTGTTGTCTCTGACCCTGAGGAAGGTCCCGATCGGGGACCGAAACGTTGGTCATCATTTTTAAATATTTTCAATAAAATCTTTGATTTTAAGTCCGGAGAGCAGCCTTTTCTTGTGGAAGTTATACCTATTGGAGCTTTGGTGGTGCGCCCGGCATTTGGAATACTTCAAGCGTGAGTGCAGGGGATGTTGATAGTTTTTTTGTATTTCTAGGAGTGTGGGGCTCTACCTCCTCCCTTTTGTGCACCTGCATATAGTGCAACTGTGTTGGCACGTTAATTATATTGAGCATTTTTTAGCTCCTACAATATTTGACAATTATATTACTGTTCATTGGTCTAATCTCCTCTTGTTTTGTGATATGGAGGAATTTTTAGTACAAGCTGGTGCTTTTGTAGAACATGCAGAAACACTGCAATTTACACCTGAAGATGCATCTCACATTCTATGGGAGCAATCCAGTCAAGAGTTACCTAATTTAACTACGTCTAGAGATGTCTATTTCAAGTTATTAAGATTGCATAAAAAAAGTGTGGACTTGGACTTACATGGTTTATTTCTATCCGACTATTATAAGGCTAAAATGATTCCACGTGGGTTTAGATTACTAAATATACCAACTATTGGAAGACTTAAAGCAGCTGTATGTAGGGATTGGACACACGTTTTAAACAAAGCTTCTTTGGACCTTATGCTTATAACGATTAAAGATGTAAAAACTGATTTAACAGAGGTTAAACAGAAAATTATTGCGTTGGAGACTGAACAAGCAGTTCTATTGGCTTCAGCTGATGGAGTGAAATTGCAACAACAACTAAAAGTGGAACTTCTGAAATATAAAAATGAATTAGTGAGATTTAAAAAACAGAAGTATGAGAGGGTTCAACAAGATTACCAAGACCACCGTGTATATAGATGGTTATCGGGTGAACGCCCTCCCAGACCAAGGAGGTTCCGCAAAAGAATTATCCGACCAAAGGTTACAACTATTGATATAACCTCTGGGGAATCAGCTTCAGAGAATGAAATCCCCAATGATACAGCAACTTTTTTAGGTCATACGGAACAAGGCACAGTCACCAGGAGCAAAGTCAGGAGCGACGAAGATATAGGAATAGGAGAGGGCGCAAGGGTAAAAACAGTATTAAGGGGCAAACCCCCTCAACGGAAATAACCCCCATCTTTAACCTTTCCCATAGACAACTCAGTGAAACAGAAGTTAACATTCTTAGTAAGGGTCTATCATATGTCCCTACAAGTTTTATTAACCCCTTTAAATGGAGTACTGAGTTGTTTCAGTTTGGAAGAAATATGAGGCTTAAAGAGTTTTTTCACACTATGGATAAAGACAAACCACAATCAACTTGTATGGGGTTAGAGAAATTTAAGAATAAATCTACATTTGACCCACAAACTACCAAATCTTCAATTAAAACTTTTTTGACAACAATGTCCAAGATGACACAGAATACTGGTGTCCAGCAACGTGAAAGATCACAAAATATAACTAAGAAAGAACGACAATTGATTGATAACCTAGCTAAGGACCCTTCTATAGTGATCCGCTCGGCGGATAAGGGAGGAGGTATCGTACTTATGAACTATACTGATTATGCAGATGACCTTAAACAACAATTACAGGATTTGAACACCTATTGTATGTTACCAAGGGATCCTACACTCGAAATTCAGAGGAAAATCAGTGATGTATTAGAGATGGGACTTAGGGCTGGTTATATCAGTCTTGATCTATTTCAGTTTTTGAATAAACAACATCCCCGCACTCCAATTATCTATAGTATACCCAAGATTCATAAAGATCTAGAAAGACCTCCTGGCCGTCCCATTGTTTCAGCTATTGGGGGGATTTTAGAACCCATAGCACAATGGTTAGATTTTGTTTTTAAAGGACCAGTTGAGGCACTGAGTACATGTATTAAGGATACACAAATGCTCTTGAGTAGAATTAAGTCCTTGGAGTTCCATGGAAGGGTTCCAATATTCATTACTATGGATGTCAAGAGCCTGTACACAGTCATCCCTCATATTGGAGGTATTGAGGTGATGCGACAGGTGTTATGTGAGTCTTCGATGTACCATGGTCCACCGATAGAATTTATTCTGGAGCTTTTGTCGTTGATCCTTCATAACAATCATTTTAGATTTGAGGATCGGTGGTACTTACAAGTGGCGGGAACATCTATGGGGTCAGCCATGGCCCCTATGTATGCCAATGCGTACATGTATGCATATGAAACACAGCATATATTGACCACATATAAGAATAACATTATTGGATATTATCGTTATATAGACGACCTGTTGATCATCTGGCGAGGCTCACAAACGGAGGCACATATGATGGTGGAGGAGTTAAATTTGTTGCCAACTCCTATCAAGTTTACAGCCAATATCAGTGAGGAAAGTGTCCAATACCTGGACTTAGAACTTTCCTATGGAGACAATAGAGTCCAATACACATTATTTTCGAAACAGACTGATCGGAATACTCTTTTACACGCTAGGAGTGCACATCCCATTTCGTTGAAAAAATCTATTCCTAAAGCACAATTCCAGCGAGTCATTCGCAACAATTCTGATATAAATAAGGCTGAGTTACAATTGAAAATCATGACCCAGAAGTTTTTGAACAGAGGTTATAACATTCAGGTACTAGAAGAAGCACTGTTGAAGGCAAAATTGGCCCCGGTGCAAAAGATGGATCCTGTACAGAAAATAGTATTTCCGATGACGTTTCATAATTCTTCTAATTTGATTTCAACAATTGTTAAAGACAATTGGAAAATGATTGCTACGGATGACACCCTGCCAAAGATTTTTAAAGAGACTCCGTTAATTTGCTACAGGAGAAATAAGAGTCTTAAGGACATGTTAGTACGTACAGACCCTGTGGAAAGTTATTCTAAAACAGTCAAGCACAACATACGGGGAAGCATACGATGTCTGGGGTGTATTACTTGTGGACATATGATTCCAGCAAAGAAATTTAATCACCCACATACTAATAAAATATATGATATAAGACACACTATTACTTGTAAAACCCCCTTTGTTGTATATAAATTGGTGTGTCCGTGTGGCCTCTATTACGTAGGAAAGACAGAAACACCTCTGTGTGAGAGGATTAGGGGCCACCGCTCGAGTATAAGATTAGCGTACAGGGATGGCCAGTCTGATAAGCCAGTTGCTCGGCACTTTCTTGATAAAAAACATCCCTTAGCATCCCTTAAATTTGTGGGTATTGATCATATACCCCTTCCCCGCAGGGGGGGTAATAGGGGGAAGATGTTGCTTCAGAAAGAGGCTTTTTGGATACACCAATTAAATACAATATCTCCCATGGGTCTTAATGAGAGCATCACGTATCATTCTTTTATATAGGTTTAACCAGCTTGTTACTATTGTTTTTAAATATTTTTATGTTTAATGAATTTCTCAGGAGCAGTGTGTCTATAATTATGCCAAAGTGTTTTTATATGTATGATATATTTGATTACACATATGTTGCTTATGAGCACTTATAATGCACTTTATTATATGCATGCTATCACTTTAAAAATTTTATATATGAATTTTTTTTGATTCACTGATGAGTGCAATTTCACATTTAACTATAACTAGGGCTCATACACTGATGGGTCAAATTTTAGTGGCTTTATTATCACTTTAATGAAGTGTCACTTACCTAGGTTCACTAGGTGTTCTTGTGGTTAGGGATATTTGATACACAATGAGCCCATCACAAGATTTGTTTTAAAATAAGCACTTATATTACTTATGTATGGCATTAATTTTTTCTTCCCTATTCTCTATCTTGGTATAGACTCCTTTTGTTGTAAGAGGGGTCTTTGTATATATGGTTGCTAAGGAGACCGGTCTATGTGACCGGGAGTACGTCGGCACGTAACATAGTATGATGAAGGGGCGGAGCACGTATTGACGTGCGCGCGCATACCCGGAAATTCACTGGGTGCCGGCGGGAAATGAGAATAGAACACCTGGGTGAGTCATTTCACTTAATGTAATGGTACATATTGTCACTTTGTATACTGTTTATTGTTGTCCTGTTGTCTCTGACCCTGAGGAAGGTCCCGATCGGGGACCGAAACGTTGGTCATCATTTTTAAATATTTTCAATAAAATCTTTGATTTTAAGTCCGGAGAGCAGCCTTTTCTATATATACACACACACGAGTGTAATTTTACTCTAAGTGTATTTTTATATTAATATATGTATATATTAACAAAAAATACACTTAGTATGACATTACATAAAATATATATATATATATACACATATATGTGTATATATATATATATTTTATTTTTTATTAACATTAATATTTTTATTTGAAAACTTTTTTTAAACTTCTTTTTAACCTTTTTTCACCAGTAGGGGGACTACCTGTCAGTTCAGGCAGTTCTCCTGCTGACAGCATTATGGACACCTATTGCAGCCATGTGACCGCTCTTTCAGAGAGATCACATGGCCCCTGGGGTTCCTAATTTGCAGAGGGGGGACTGTCTGGTTTTTCAGACAGTCCCCCCAGTAAAGAAAAACACTGACTGCCAGCGGGGGAACGGCAGCTATCGGGTAAGTACATGGGAATGGAGGGAGAGGGAGGCAGGAAGGGAAATTTTTTTTAAATTATTTATTTTTTAATTTTTCGTTTATTTTAATCTCACTGACTGCCTCGACCCCTTGAGGCACTCAGCACAAGCAGAGTATCGGAAGCCTGCCTGATAGCTTCCGATGCTCTGCTTCACTGCCGGGCGCCACGTGGGGCAACCAAGAAGTGATCGCTCCAGGGGTGGCCCGGCACTGAGGGGGGTTATTGCACGATGCCTCGACATTGAGGCATCGCTGCAATACCATTAGAGCATCTGTAAGCGATCATGATCGCTTCCAGTGCTCTGATTCGCCGCGGATGTAACTGATGACTTAAGGACCTTTTTTGTCAGACGTACCTGATACGTCCGAGGTCCTTATTGGTTTAATAGAAGAAAAACTACCACAACAAGAGGACATAGTCTTAACTTAGAGGGGCAAAGGTTTAAAAATAATATCAGGAAGTATTACTTTACTGAGAGGGTAGTGGATGCATGGAATAGCCTTCCAGCTGAAGTGGTAGAGGTTAACACAGTAAAGGAGTTTAAGCATGTGTGGGATAGGCATAGGGCTATCCTAGATAAAGTATTTAGAAAATTGGGCAGATTAGATGGGCCGAATGGTTCTTATCTGCCGTCACATTCTATGTTTCTAAGTTTCAATGCGGCTTTGGTATCTTTAATAGCATTATTTCAGGTTTTGCATCTCCACTTATGAGGAAGGGACCTCTAGGTCTACAAAATATGCAATCTAATTTCTGATTTTCCAATAACCTCTTCTACTGAACCCTCTCACTTATATTAATAAGAATTGTGCAATAATGGAATGGTTTAACATACAAGAGAAAAATATAGGGTGAAAGTACCCCATGTCTTTTTCCCATCTTTCAATATCACTCTGAAACACTCTATAATTGTACCTTACTTTTCTCTTTTATTTAAAAGCTTACTACAGAGTTTAAATGCATGCCCTTGATTTTAAAGCTATTTTTAGATGGAGGACCCCTGAATGGAAAATGCATACTGTGGAGTAATATAATGTTCCCAGAGGGAGTACCTCACCCTCGTTTACCCTAAGGATAAACAGGGCAAAAGGAAGAGCCAGGAAAAGTCAAGGTCTGGAACAGACTAATAGTGTGGATTGAATAACTGCCAACACTTGGGTTAGGTACCAAACAGGAACCTTAAAAGCCTCTTTATTAAATAATTTAGGTTGACTAATCACCTTAGTATCAGCTGGCATCTGTAGATACAATCTTGTGGTTGCAAATACATATCTTGACCTTGATAAAAACAATCATAAGTATATATATATATATATATATATATATATATATATATATATATGAGCGTATTGCAAAATGTGTATCACAGTATACTGCATAAAATAAATATAAACCTGATAATGTAGACAGAGCAACAATAAAAGTAAAATAATGCTAAAAATATCCATAAATTAGGCTGTAAATGAGACTAAGCATATAAAAAACCTGATAAATGCAATACCTAAAATGTAAAAAAACTATCCGAACCTAAAAACACACAGGGGAAAAAGGAACTAATAATAATCCTAATATATTGCACAACAGATAAAGATATATGTTTACTTAAAAATAGTACCCACTAAAACACAAATAGAGTAGAATTAAAAACAAGTATAATTTATTTTACCAGGAAGAATAGATTGAGATTTATCTAGTTGTCAAGTATGTCCTTATAATCAAATAGTCATCAAATAGATTGTATAAAATAATCTGCAGAGTACATAATGAGAATAAAAATTTAAAATATAAGTGGAGCAGTATTAAATAGTATTATATAAATATATACAACCGTATTATGTATATCCATCAATAGGTAGCGTTTGATTAATGTGCATTGAACATGTAAAAAGAGAAATGAAAGAACAAATAGTATAGACCATTTTAATAATCTCTAATTATAATATAATACACAATTATCACTCCTATAGTGTGCATATCTGGAGCTTATATAGAAGTATTTAAGCTTCTCATACAGTTAATATCCTTTATAGAATATATGAGTAAGGACTAATAATTTTAAAGGAAAGGTGATATGAATCTTATAGCATATTGTATTGTAAACAGACATAAATGACAAAAAAATAAAACAATAAAAAAAACGCTGCCTCTTACAAGAACAGGTGGTGAGTAAATGTGGCTTATACTGTTACTCACTAGTAAGGCTCAATGTAAATTGGCTGCAAGCGTCTCTAGAAGCAGGATAAAGTCTTCCTTTGCTGCTGGCAGCGTTTCACCGCGTCTTGCCAACAGGCTCAGTTCTACTCACTTCACGCCATATACTTCAGATCCGCAAGCTCAGCCCCTCTCAATGACGTCAGCGCGTTTGCTGTTTAGTTGCGGCTTCCTCAGCACATCCTGAGGAAGCCACAACTTAACCGTGAAATGCGTTGCTGTATATTTATATAGTACTATTTAATACTGCTCCACTTTTAACTAAATTATCTTTTTGTGCTGGATTAGTGAATTGGGAATGTACTTAAATGTGTAGCAGTTATAAATGTAGTAAGCCACAGTAGGGTTCTTTCTACCTGTTCTAAACACATTGACTTTTTAGCGCTCAAATATCTTTATGATTAAAAATTAAAAATGGTTTATAATAAATAAAACTCAATATTAAGATCACGAGATATAAATTCTATGGGCCTATTTCATGTTTTCTTTTTCTATACTTATCACATGATTACTACCTCTATAAGGATTTTTTAACTGTCTGTATCCTAAGGAACGTTAAACCGTTGGTCCATATTATCACATTGTTCAACAATAAATATAAGTTTAATTTTATTGATAATTTAAATTTTCATTCCTGGGAGTGGTTGTGTAGGCAGGGACCTAGGCACTGCATATACAGCTGTTAAGGGACACTTCAGATCCCTAAAGCCCTTTAGCTTGCTGAAAAGCTTTATGTGTGAAGAGCATGACTTTATTTTTTATTTTGAAAATATTGCAGATTTTAATAGAAATTCGCTTTTCTAAATTATACTGGTTACACCCCCTGGACTTTTTAAGCAGAAAACAGGTCCTGTTACTTCCTGGTCTGATTAGCTTATTTGTACTTAACGCAAGAGGCAGCAATTTCCCAGATCACCTGCTTGCAAAGGCATCTCATTGAGCTGCACTAGAAAGTCTTCGATTGGACAGCCACATAAAGTCTGCGTGGGGTTAGAAGAAGAATACATGCAGACAAGAGATCTACAGTTTTTGCAAGCTGTTTTTAGTTAT